ATTTTCCTACACAGCACTTTTACCCGGAAAAAAAATGCTGTTTCATTGAAATAGAAACACTTGAGTGTTGTGATAGCTTTTGAAACATCTTTTAGCAAAAAAAAAGAGGAGGATAAGAGGAGAGGAAATAATTTTCATGCTGCAATGGCATGGCTGAGGGGTTTTGATTTTTAAACTTGTCATGACAAAATATAGGGGAAAAAAAAAATCAAACAGCCAAACAACCTAAAAATTAGGCAGAATAAAACCATATTAACGCGGATGGGAAATTCTTATTCTTGTTGTGAGTGAGCAAAACCAACATTTAGAAAGAGCACAACTCCCCACAGATCTGAAATTCTGTTTCCTGCAGTAGTAGGGGTATAACATGACATTTTTAATGCTTAGATCCCCCCAGAAGTATTACTGCACTTGCACCCCAGGTATTAGCACGTGTACACACCTTCTGTTTGATAAAGTTGCTATGCAACATTTCGGAACAGCCTCCTTTGCTTCTGTACAGAGGGCTCAGCTGAAGTAATGATGATAAAACAATGATAAAGCCTTCAAATGATGAAGCAGTTACTAAATTCTAAGTGGAAACTGGAAGGCATCAAACAACACAAGGAGTCTTCTTTGCATAAGACCCTTGTGAGAAGAAAGAGCAAACTGGAGAAACATTTTCTGCTCCAATGTAAAAAAAAAATGTAATAACAGAAGCAAAAAGAATTCAAATTGTCAGAAATAAGGCAGAAATAGAACAAAACCAGCCTCTCCTCCAAATTTTGTGCTTTGCCATGAAAAGAAGGGATGAAAGAGAAGTAGAAGCAGCAGCTTTTCACCCAGCAACCTGCCACACAATTGCAAAAGGATAACAACAAGAAATGGATGTAGGATTTCACTCCAAGCCCAGGACACAGACACGCCCAGAAAGCATCTCTGACAGATGTGAAAAGTAGTTTTTTTCCTCTTTACCCTTGTTTGGTGACTCGCAGAGCTCATCACACCAGCTCACCACTGTGGAACTGAATCACCTGCTAACAAGACCAGAACAATCTCTGATTTTTTGTTTCATGCATTCTCAAATGAAACCCCAAAAGGCATTATTCCTGGGGCTGCAGTCAGCAATGCAAGAGAGAAGCAGGAATAATGAAGGTGTGGTTATGTTTAACAGAACTAGGGTGCCTGATGGTTTCTCTAGTCCCCTTCAAAGATGACATGTGAATGGAGGAGACTTCTGCATCCAAAGGGGTCAGGAGCACATCCTGCTGAGAACTGCAAGAAGTGCAATCAGTTGCTAACAACCATAGCTAAAGATCAGCTCTAGCCCTGAAGCAAGGAGGCTGGAAATCTGGAAGTGTCTGCACATGAGCTCTCATCCCTTGGACAATTCCATTTGATTTTACTCACATAGTATCTTTTCCTTGATTTGGGGCTGGAAGGATTTCTCATGGCAGTGAGTTTTACAGCCTAATTAGCAAGTGAGTGGAGAACAACTTCCTTAATGGGCATCTGGTACCTCTGAGTTACAGTGGAGGTCCTTTTCTGTCAGGTAGGAGAGTCTGTGCATCCTTTACACTATGCAAAATGACTGTGACACATACAAACAGCATTTGTCAGCTCCTTGGGGAATATTGTTTCAAAGCCTCACTGTAAGGAAGGAGTTTCAGTAACATGGTAAGAATGAACACAGGTAAGCAAAATTCAGACATATCCTATTTGGGTGTTTAAAGTTCAGCCTTGCTCACCTGCCAAGAATACAAAATATGTTGAACTTATTTAACACCTGATACATTTTCCTCTACCATGTTGCTACTGTTTCCTCAGAGTCATTTGGAATTTGCTCCTTCCTAATATTCTGGCATCTCTTCTTTTTTTTTTGCTCCAGGTCATATGAGATTTCTCTCCAATTTCTCCACCTCAGGATATGGACTTTTCAAATGCTGGCTGATTATTAGAGTGTTACTGATCTTTGGGTGCTGAACAATCTACTCAGGCAGACCCATTCAGCACTCTTCTGCTCATGTGGTAATCAGCCAGGTTCCTAATCATTTTGTCCATTCTCCTGATAATAAAGTGCCATTACTCAGACCACACAGCAAGATTCCTCTGTGAAAATTCCACCCACGTGGAAGCCTCTGAAACAGCCACTGGTCAATGTTGGGCCACGTTGTCTCATCACAGCCTCCTGAGCATGGCCCAATATCTCCTTTTGGGATTAACCCTGCTGTCCTTCCCCAAATATCTCACGTTCCCACCAACACCTCAATCCCCCTCTACTTCCCACTGCTTTATTTCCCCACTTTCTTTGCTAGCACCTGCAACACCCCCAGCTTGCTACCATCAGTATACCTCACTAATAAACTTTCCTCTTGCTTTTCAGATCAGCAATGAAGAACTTAAAAAAGACATTATAAAAAGACATGTGGCCAAAGGTCCCATTAATTATGTTTGCTGTACCCCACTGGGCACCTTCTTCCAACACAGCTCATTCCCATTTATCACAAACCTTTGTTTACAACCTCTCTGCCAGTTTTCAGCCCTTGAGTCAGCGCTTCCTTTCCTAGGGGATATGATTTCCGTATTTTTTTTTAAATTAATGGCAGGCTGTCTTTCTTCCAAAACGTTCCCTGCATATAACCACAGATTTATGGAGCCAGGAAGATACATAAAGATTTAAGCACAGACTGAGAAATTAGAAGAGCATTGGTTTCACACAGGTAGTGTTTTATACTGATAAAAGGAGCAGACAGACAACGTCACGGCTGGGACAGTTAGGGGAAATGGCCTGTGCTCTGCAAAGGTCAGGCAGGATGATTGGGAGCATCCCTGGTGCCTCAGCGTGGACAGAGCAGGTCCCTGGTGGACCAGATCTCATGCTTCTCACACTGCTTCTCCTAGGGCAGCTCCTGCTGGGGAGGAAGCAGCTCTGGCTGTTTGGAGAGATAAACAGGAATAAAACAAGGCCTTGACTTTTTGTCAGCCAAGCTTTGCTTCTGATTGTTGGTGTCCAACAGGAGCCAGCTGGATATCCTGCAACATGTTCTCACTCTCCACCAAGGTTTAGTCAACCCTGATAACAGGGATCAGCCTCAAAGTGGCCTTTGGGTCATGGATCTCCTTAGGAAACAGGTAGGAGAGGGGGCTGCATAACATGAGGATGGTGCTGCCCTCACACAGCAGGCTGTGTGCTTCCTGGAAGGGGTGAGGCTGCCATTTGTGACCTCCAGGCCACCACCTCACATCCCTCTGGTGCCCCTGTGGCTGGCTTCTCTCTGAAGAAGGGCCAGAGAGATGGAGAGAGGCTGGAGGAGTTGTTCTGCTGACAGTCAATAGCCAAAAGGTTGTTCTTGGCTCCCATCTTTACCAGCCCCTGATAGACCTGTTAAATGCCTGAGTGTGCAGTCAGTGCCCAAACTAGCTTCTCCTCCACCTGGTGCCCTCCTGCCACGCTGGGCAACACAGGAACGTGCCTCAGTTCCTCCACAGTCACACCTTTCAGCATCCTCTGTCCCTACCTATTGCTCAGAGATAAAAACACACCCAGAAAGAGATGAGATCCCTTTCTAGATGGGCTTCACACGGAGCCAGAGACCCTGAAATGTGCCTCCATAGTGTGGTCAGGACATAGGTGGAAATGTCAAAGTGACTTTGGCTCAAGGAAAACCACACGATGCAGGGTGGGAGGTAAGTGTGCAAAATTCCTCAGATGGGGAAAAGAAAAAGGAGCATCTGAGCTCAAGAGAAGGATTAGGAAAGCTCTGGCAAAGTCTCAGCCACAGCCTGATCAGGGAGGTTATGGGGCAGAGCAGAGAGACTTCCTGCTGTTCCACAGGGCAGAAAAAGCTGTGGAAGAAACGTCTGAAGTCCCACGGGGCTGCAGGTGGCAGCTGCTGCCTCTGCCCAGGGAATGGCCAGAAACGTTGGAGTGACACAGAGGACCAAGTTCAGTGTCCTGCAACCCCCTGACCCCACCAGCACACGACCTGCCCACCAGTTCACTCCCATCCACATGGATGCAAGCACTGTGAAGCCTGAACCACTCCCATCGACGTTTCCTGAGGTTAAATAACAACAGCAATGCCTGTTTCCCCACTCCAGGGTTGCAGGGGGAAAACAACTGATGAGAAAACAAAAAACAAATAAAAAAGGAGAGGCAATGGAAGGGAAGAAGATGGGAGAAACAGTTCAGCACCAATAAAAGCTGCCCAGCACAGTTGAAGAGGCTGATCTTGCCCCCATCCTCTGGGAAGGGAGCAAGCCAGGGTCTGGCAGGGGCCACCTCTACCTTGGGAGCAGTGTCGGTGTGTGTGGCACGTGCCCCAGGGCTGTGGCTGACACCCCAGGGCTGCAGCACCTCCCTGGTTTACAAACCTGAGCTGGGGACAGCATCTCAGCCCTGAATGGTGCCAGGGAGCAGCAGTGAGGCTGCTGGCACAGCCCCAGCAGTGCGGTGCCCAGCAGTGCCCAGCCTGGCTCACAAACACAGGGCAGCTTACAGGGGGCAGAGCTGCCACAAAACGGGGAGTAGAAAGCCCAAGGTGAGTAGGAGAGGAAAAAGAGCCAATGTTACTCACACCTAAGCTACAATGGCATGAAAATTTTTCAGATGAGGACCCTGAAGAGCATGTGAAAGCCTGAGCAAACCAATCCTCCCTGCTCATCCCTCTCCAGACTTCACACACGTCCCTTTTTTGAGGCTGCAGACGTTATCAAACCTCTGGTGTCCTTTAGGAAGAGCAAGAGAAAACTCTTTCCTTTACCACAAATTGTTCAGCTTCAGCTCTTGAGCCACCAGCATGGCCCTGAACAAAGAATGACCAGGGCAGATCTGCCAGGATCCTGTAGTTTTCCTTCCCATGCAACAACACCTTTTGGCCCCGTGGAAAATAAAGCTGGTTTGAGGGGAAAAGCTTGCACACAAAGAAAACCTCCACTCAGTTTGCACCTGAAGCCTGCCTGGAAAGCCCTATCTGTCTCCCCAAAGCCAAGCTGAGCAGTTCTGGGGAAGCAAGACTTACTAGGCACACGGTTGATGGCTTTCAGGGGCCTCAGGACACGGACAGTGCGGATGGCAGACAAGTTAATGTTTTGGAGATCCAGGGAATACTCCACCATTCTGCAGAAAGGGAGAGACAGAGAGAAAAAAGAAAGTTTACAAGAATCCAAATTTTTTATTTGAGCCACATAATCATGGTTTCTTTGTTGGAAATTGTGGGGATGAAGTCTGAATCTCTGGGAGCAGGACTGGAGCCCAGATCTGCCCTGGCAGAAGGCAGAGCTGTCCACAGCAAGGCAGTGAGAGATGGGGATCCCCATGGGGCTGCAGGCCAGGAGCTGTGCTGAGACTTACCTGCTGTATGAAGATGCCCCAATAAGGAGGATGCACTTTTGGGGCAGGCTGGTGGGGTGGGCATTGCCCACGAGGCCAGGAGGAGGGGAGCTACACAGGTAACTGCTGTGCATCACCTGCAGCACAGAGGGGTGCTGTCCACATTCCCCTCACCTCACAGTGCAGGATGAGGTTGCTGGAAGAGGCTTCAGCTAACCTCTTTTTACCTCACTTAGAAGCAAACTCTCTACTTAAAGCTTTGGCTAGGTGGGAATATTTCTCCCCTAGTTCTGAATCATTCCTTTCTGACATCAACCAAAAGGGGGAAAGCCTAATTTTAGGACATATGCTAGACCTGAGTTTTCCTAACCCAACAGCATGCTCCCTAAATAATCTGAAAGTGCAAACAGCTATGACTAACACCTTGGCTTTGCTGCTACTGCTGCAGGTGCACATGAAAGAGGTGACCTGGCCCTTCTCCTTGGCCCTTCAGCATACTCAGGAGATGAGAAGAGATCAAAGGATGCAGCCTTTTGTTACTGCGCCCTTTCTCAAAGCAAAACATTAATGATTTAGATAGAAAGATCCCTAAGTCAATAATCCAGTAACCTGATGTCCACCCAAATCCCTCTGCCCAGGAGCCACTGAGGACTGAACCAGAGAGCCCGAGTGAGAGGCTGAGAGAGAAATCAGGTATAGCCAGTCTGCAACAAATACCAGGGAGAGGACTTGAGTGAAACTTGAATGAAGTGGACTGCTCCTTCTATTATCACCCTCTTCACTCACAAGGACCTTGAGGAGCAAATGTCTAGTTACCTGTCTACACCTTTCACAAAGGGGACTTGTCAGAGTGATAAGATTTCCAAACACAAGGGGGTAAACCTGTCAAAGTGTTGTGATGATTCTCTGCTCTCTTTCTTTCTCTCCCTCATTCCTTTCCCTCTCTTCTCTCATGCACTTTTAGGGTAATTGCAGGAAATAATTCTTCCTGTGAAATGCAGAGGCATTCATTTACATCGCTGAGGCTGGCAGCTCTACCTACACTGAGTGCAGAAGGCAAGAGGAGGGATTTCATACAGATAATCAAAATATACCCACTCAAAAAACAGCCCCCAAAAAAACCCCACCCCAAACCAAGCAGCAAGACTTAAATACCCTACAGAAAGGCTGTCTAAGCTGTTAGTGATAGAGACTTAAGATCCAGCCAAGGAAATTGGGAAGTGGATGTAAAAGGAAGAAGAACACCCATGGATACAAAAGCACAGCCAGGATTACAGAGCATCCCACAAAGGACACACCTGCATGGTGCAATTTGAGCCAAGGGCCTTGGGTCAGCACTCATCAACCTTGCTCCTAAAGCTTAAAGCAAGACTGCCACATCAAAGTGCTGCTGCTCCAGAGTCAGACAGACCTGCAGAAGCTTTGGAACTGTGGTTACAAAGCACTGTATAGACATGGCTGTATTGCTCCCAGGACAAGGGTAACATCTCTTCACAGCACAGACTGGACATGAAGAGGCAGCTTCATGACTGAAGGAGTCCCTGCACTGCAGCCTGTTGTAGTGGGTAGGTATATACACAGAAAGATCAAGGTCCCCAAGCTTGCTGAAGTACCACAGAACTTTATTGCCTTACCTGAAAAAAAACACATCCCTTAGAGCACTGGGTTGAAGTCAGACTTCTGAAGGCAAAAAAATCATGTTTGAGCAGCAGCAGGATAACATAAAACACACTCTGCCAGCTGCCAAATAAGTGCATAGCCCCCAAATACATCTAATTTGAGAAGGTGGTCTTTTCTGAACTGCAAATGAGCAGTCCTGGAGAACACCATGACCCTCACAGACACTGAGCACAGGGGAACAGCACAGGACTAGGCCTGAGATACAATCAATGAGCAGAGGTGAGATCTTTTCTTGGACTTAGCCATGCCACATTCATTTAAAAACACAACCTCTGGTTACAAACAGTTCAGGTTTTGTCCTCTTGTGGCTACAACCATGTTGCTGATGTTACAGTGGGAGCAACCTTAGCCAGGTCCACATCCCTGCCCTCTCCTAGCTGGAATAAGATTGCCACCTACATGGCACAGGCTGCATGTCACTAGAAAATTCATCATCATCAAAGCAGCAAATGTGGGTCCTTCCAGAGCAAGACATATGCTACCCTCACTGCAACCAGGCAGTTCAGACAGGCTCCTGCAGCCTTTCGTGGCCACAGATTCGCTGTGATTACATTCCAAGTTTAGCTAGAAATAAAAGCAAAACAGTTAATCACTGCCAATAAAACCTGTAGGCTGTTCCCAAGGATGGCTCCAAGAAGGGCAGCTGTTAAATTTTTCACAGAACAGCTCCTAAGCCAGAGGAGCTCAGCCCTAGCAGGCCCCAGGGCTTCAGCTTGCTTAGCAGCCCCTTTCCTCCTACAGGTCCTGTGAGGCCTCCTGGTCTTGGCTGTAGTAACAGAGACATGTTCAGGATGCTTAAATCCCTGCAAACGAGTTATGCGTGTTGTAGTCATGTAAATCAAATCCAAAGCAACTCAGCTACAATTCCAGTGCAAGTTTGCATCAGGGCTACTCCTTCTTGCCTTCTCCTTCCTACTGATGGCTTCAGCATCAGCTTCTGTTCATGTTTCACCTTGCAGAAGGGTAGCAGGTGACCAGGATGAAATGAAACTCCATTGATTTAAAAACAAAACAACACAACAAACGTTTTCCACGTAGGTAAAATTTAGGAATCCAAATGTTGCCTCCTTGCTTTAATAAAATGGGATCTCTAAGCAATTCTGGTGCAGTCTCTGGGCATTTGCAGCATTTCAGGGATTACCAGCCTAGCTGTTGTTGTTGTTATCTTTCTCCAGCCAGTGCTGCTCCCCACTGTCTGGAAACCCTGTCCACTCAACCCCCTCTCAGTTTGGGCTGTACCTGATCTCCTGTTGCCACATGTAGAGGTGGTGATAGGTTGACAGAGAGTCAAAAGGGCTCATCAGGAAAAGCAATCAGCCAGAAACTGGCAGCAGATTTATGGCAGGAGGTTTACATCTTCCCCTGGCTGTCTCGAGACCTTGTGGTGGTGAATTAGGTGGACAGTGCTTATCTGGGCTCTTATGCAGGCACCCAACTGTCACTGCTTGCATCCTTATTGCACCAGCAAGCCAGGGAACTGTGTGTTTGCTGAGTGTTCATAAACCAAGAGCAGGGAAACATTAAAGCTAGTACAAAACGTTTGTTTCCTCACTAAACTCCAGGAGCTTTCCAGGCTCCTTGTCCTTGTTTTGTGGCAGCTCAGTGCCCTGAGCAAGGGTCATTCCCACAACCCAACTGCCCTTCATCTAGTTCTCCCCACTTTCTTGGCTACTTTAAGCATGTCTTGTTTGTAAAAGCCTTTCTTTAAGGTCCACAGGCAGTCAAAGTCTAAGGTGTGATAAAAAAAAAAGTGCCTGTGCTACTGTGCTATTTGTGAGTTGTCCTTTCCCCTTGTCATGAGAGGTCAGGGGGATGCATCTCCCCAGGGGACATGGCAGCTTATTTCTCTCTCTGCTGAAGTATTTTGCAGCTTCTGGCATGGGTGGGGGAGTGCAGGGGCAGGTTAGGAAGCTGGAACTCTGCTAAATCAGAAACTCCTGATCTCTGATGGAATTTGAACGCTGAACTGCCAAGATAATTGAATTTATACAGTAATTCTTCTTCCCTCACTAGAGTTTTCTTCTTCAAAACTTGCTGCATGGAACTCTTCTGGAAGGAGAGGGAATTGATGCATGTACCAGCTCCATGCCCTGTGGCTGGTGCACAGTGGAAAGACGGTAAGAAAGGGGACAGAGGCACCAGCTGCATGTGGGGTTCATCCTGCAGAGGCAGTGGGAACGCTCAGCAGGGAGCACCTCTCCACTTGAGCTCTGCCTCCCTCCCCCTTCTCAAGGTAACCCACTTCCCCCTTACCCCTTCTCCCTCTTTTTACATCCCTCTGCCTCATGCCTGCAACATTTCCACCTCTCATTTTAGTCTTCCTCCTCAACTTCCAGCTTTTCTGTTCACCCCTTGCTTTTCCTTCATCTTTTCCCAATTTGCCTCATATCCTCCAATACCCTTCCTAATCCTTTCTTTCCTCTTCCATTCTTCTTTTCATTCCTTTTGCCCTTTTCCCTACTAATCATCTTCATTCTTCCTCCTTTGACTTAGTCTCTGCCTTGCTGCTACACATCAGCTGATGCCCAGGCCAGCCTGCTCAGCTGAACACACAAGAGACCTGGAGCTGAACAGAGACAAGACCCATCTGGCACAGGGAACAAGTGAGCAATTTGTTAGCACATTGACCCTGTCCAGAAACCACCTGGTCTGGTGTTCCTCCATCCCAAGCCAAGCCACTGGAGCAGACAGCAAGCACCCAGGGACAAGGGGACAGGAAAATCACCACCAGCTCAAGCCTTCACTGCTCATGAGGTCTCAACCACAGCAGAATAGCTCCAGCAGCTACGTCCTGGCACTTCTTTTGCTCCTCTGCACCCGTGAGCTCAGGAGTGGGCTTGGATATGACTTGGCACTCTCCTCTTCTCCAACAGCACTGAAACTCAGGAGAGCAGTGCTCACTGCCCAACAGCAGCCATACATGGGCAGAGTGGCTCTGTGCCAGGCACAGGAGAGCAGACTGACCACCAGGATGGAGGAAGAAAAACTAAGACTATTTAAAAGAGATGTAGCAGGAATATGAAAACCATGTAAAGAGTGCAGAAAATTCAGACTTTATCTTGCTGTAGGTGTAAAACCCAAGATAATGTACTTAATGTAATGCCTGG